CACGTATATGCTGTAGATGTATGCCTATACATCACTTGTGTACGGGCTGAGCCAGTGTCTGCCAGGGGCCCTGCATGTACCCACTCAGTATCATATATTGTGACATTTTTTATTTATATATATATATATATATATATATATATATATATATATATATAATTTTTTTTATAATGTCCCCTAAAATTTTTAATGTCTAAAATTTTTAATTTTCTTTTTGCACTTACTATAATATATGTAATATGTCATTTTTCAATGTAAATAATATTTTAGTTTTTATATTTCTTTTATTACTTGTTCATTTAGCATATTGTTTTGCATTGATTTCTTTGTTCTTTGCCCCTTGATTTGAAAAATTGATAATATACATGATAGGTGATTTTTATTTTTAATTTTTTTACACTGTGTCCTTCCTGAATTAAAATCCTCATTCCGTACCTCATGATTGTGTATGCATCTCGCATTTATAAACTGTACCAATACAATATTATATAATAATAAATGGGTTGAAACTTGAAAGTTTATTTTATTTTATTTTTCGCAATTCACCAATATTTTCTTTTGTCCTTCAAGATTTGGGCACAATATTTTGTTTTCTCCCTTCATGATTTGGACACAATATTTTATTCTCTTCAAGGTATCTAATGCCTTTGTTCAACCTGCCCCTCCATAATATACCTACTTAAATATCTGTGTGTGTAGTACGTATACGTATATATAATTAATATGGATAAACTTTTTTTTTAACGATTGAACAAGCTACGGTCAAGGATACAACAGTAGTCATATGTATATGCTAGTGGGGTTGGTTTGCTTTACTCAGACACTTCCTAGACATTGACTAAAGTTTCCAATGGATAAGATATTCTTACCTGATTGGTAAGTCATAGCACATCGCACCATAACAAGTGGGCGCTTGTTTGGGATTCTTACTCTTTTTAGGTTTTCAAATGATGCATTTTGATCATATATATATATATATATATATATGTATAAATTGACCGACATGGTCGTGAGTCCTTCCTCCTAGTGTTTGATTTTACTTTTAAAGAAAGTAAAGTAAGAATCTTAATTTTGGGGGGGCCAAAAGTGCATTCGATTTGCTTCTTTTAACTTTTTATTATTAGGGGCACAAGTAAGGTCAAGGATTGCTCCATAGTAAAAATGTGAAAGGAACAAAAATTATTGGCTTTACCAAGTAAATACGGAGTATGTATTTCTTTTGGTTACTAGCTTGTTCTTGACAAAAATTATTTAGATCAAATTATTTAGATCTCACTGAATGTATCCATATATATATATATATGTATGTATGTACGTTTACGGTTATATATATAATTATAGTTGGGTATAGTGGCAGGGTATTTCGAGTCTTTATCAATGGAGAAGAATCTTATCAGCATCAACCTTGTTGGCTCCAATTAAGACTCTTAACAGGATCCGATCACCTTCTCTAAAGTTCTCCTCACTAACCAAAAAGTAGTGATTGGGAATTGGGCTGCCATGTAGTTGTGGTTGTAGTGTCCACTTTTGATGGATCAGTCTTCCAATTTCGAATCATTTATATATATATATTTATACGTATGTATGGGACAAATGCAAAAAATACTTCTTTTTTTAAAAAGTGTATAAAAAACACCCCTATGATGCTATTAATAACAGTGAGCTTCACGAACCTATGAACAAAGACCCATCTCTGCGCAGCTACATGCATATCCATTCCACTTTGCCCTTTTTCTAGCTACTCTGTCACTCTCTCTTTTGCTTTTCCTTTGTTTTTCGCTTTTTTTTTTTTCCTTTTTCCCTGGTTCTTTAACCATCCTAATCAAACCTCAATTAAAAATTTCAAGCCACAACAAATCTACATCATCAATCACGGTAAAAAAAGGGTCAGAGAGAATCTGAGACACCAAACAGTGGGTGTTGGCACATATGTATATACAGGGCAATACATGGAAATTAAAGAGCAAAAACCTCGCTCACTAACCACCAGAAACCAGGAAAAAGGAAAACGTACACAAAGAAATCAAACCAAGTAATACTACAAAAACGATCATAAAACGAACTAATTGGCCGGCAAATGCTGGCAATTTCCATGGCTAGAGGGCATTTAATTAAAGCCACTTAATTGAACAACTAATTTTCTCCATCAATAAGAAGCATAGAGGGACAGGAGCTTGTGTTTTTAAAAAATTCTAGCATTTCCCTACTTAATTCCCTTCATCCAAACATGATAGAGTGAGGGGTGTGTAATGGAATTCTGAGGTTCAAGACTCTATGGTACAACCTTTTGTTACGGCACCATATTTTTCACAGTCAATATTTGACATGAAGTATATATTGGGTACGCGTATTATTCATTCACCCAAAAATAATGCATCATTTCGAAAAAATTTTTGATTGATCTACTTATAAAATTGCTAATAACGAAATAATATGTTATATTAGATTTGATAGATATACTAATAGCCATAAATTATTAAACTAATCGAATTTAATTAGTCCACCAAATATCAATAAATGCATACTATTTAATAATTTTCCAATTAAATTAAAAAAATTAGTGTGGTTATACATCATTATAATTTTAACAATTACACGGAAGTGTTAAAATGAGAAATATTCTCACATTTTTTTTTTTTTTTGTTGAAGCAGTGAAATACAGACCTTGGAGTTTATTTATTTTTGTGTGGACCGGCACAATATTTTGGACCTCAACAACTTAACCCGAGGAAAGCGCCAGGCTGCACATTGGGCTGTTTGGCCAATCCCGACCCAGTCTGAAATCTTTGGGTCTGGTCCAACCCACTCTGTTCTACAGCCCGATATTCCACAGTGAATGTCTCATTGTCTCCAGAAATTGAAGTGATGGATTTACATAAAGACGAAAATGCCACTCCAATCCAATCCCAGAAGGAACCCTAATAAAACCCTTGAATTAGGATTTGGTAGAGTACCTACAATACAAAATAAGGTCCTATATATAGTAATTCCTTGTTAGATCAATTTGGATTTGGAGAGCAAATTAGTATAAATGGATTTGCCATTCTTCTTATGAGCATTGACGTCTACCATATTCAGGAGAAACGTTCGTCAGGTTCGCCACTGGCTAACTTTTTTATGGGTTAATTATAATAACATTTTCTAAAATTTGTCACAATGACAATCATATACAAGTTGAGCATTTTTTTTTTTAACAATGACACCCCTTTCAAAAATGAATTCAAGCAATCCCTTAAAAGATGTGAAATGTCAATATTACCCTTAAATATTTTATTATAAAATATTAAAATTTTTAAATGACACTTCTACCCATCAGTAAACCTCACCAATCTCTTTCCTCTATCTCTCACCTTCTTTCATTAGAAGCCCTTCTCTCTCTCTCTCTCTCTCTCTCTCTCTCTCTCTCTCTATATATATATATATATATATATATATATATATATATATATATATATATACCTTGAACCCAGACAACACACCACCACCGACCACCAACCCCAACTTCACTTCCATCCCCACCGTCCTCCACCAACACCAAAAGGTATTTTTATAATACAAAAATAGGAAAAATAATAATAATACTACAAAAATAAAATAAAAAGGCATTCACACAAGGGAGTGGAGAGATGGTGAATTTGGGGGGTTCAACGAAGAGCGAGTGGAGGATGGCGGATATGGACACCTTTGTCCGTACCGATTGCTGACGAGTTGTCGGAGTTCCTCACTTTTGTCCTCAATCTGCTTCATGGTGCTGGTTCCACATTGCGGATCTCAGAGATCGGCGGGAAAAACGATTCAGCTTGTCTGTCTCGGGGTGGTGTCCCCCTTCGCCACCGCCGACGGTGGCTCCATCAGCTGTGGATGGTGACGAAGGTGGGTGGTGGTTCACTGGATTACTTCTTAGGCACATGAGGAACCGGCCTAACATATTTTTAATCGAAATCTCAATCAATAACATTCCTGGCGAACTTCAGAACATCAGTACACAACATCATCCATCTTCTAACTGAGACTCGTCATCTTGGCCTAATTGCCTAAAAGCTTCAACGGACTAAATCGATACCATAAATATCCGGCGTGCGTTAATCCAGTGAAGAGCTACAGTGAACTTCTAATCATCACCGTCCAAACCAGTGAAGTTCCGGTGAGTTTCAGGTACGACAAACTTCATGGTGAAACAAGAACCACGACGGCCAAACCCTAACCCTAAAAACCCACCACCAAACTCACGGCTTCTCCCTCAAACCCACCACTAAATCCTAGCCCTCTTCGTCCCTAAATCGCTTACCACCACCATTGCCACCATCACCACAAAGAAGTATATAGGTTTTGGTGGTGGGGGCGGCAACATCAATGAGTGATTAAAGTATATATAAACGAACGGTCTTGGAGAGAAGGAAAGAAAATAGTTTGTTTTTTGTTATTATTATTATTAATTTTATTGATAAAGGTTACACTACAAGAAATTTGGTTTTTAGGGACAGTCAATTATGTCCCTAAAAGCCCTAATACCGTCCCTAATGATCAAATTTGACCGTCCCTAATAGTTGCGTCACAAAAGCTTTTTAAGGACTTAAAAATTGTCCGTCCCTAAAAAAATCTACCTTTAGGGACGGACTTACTGTCCCAAATAGGACCATCCCCCTTTGACTTATTAGGGACGGACTTACTGTCCGAAATAAGACCGTCCCCTTTTGATTTATTAGGAACGGTATTTACTGTCCCTAATAATTAATATATTAGAGACAGTTTATTGTCCGTCCCTAATACAATACTTATTAGGCACAATTTGTACTGTACCTAATAAGATTTATTATTATTATTATTATTATTATTATTATTAAATTTGTGATCGTTTATACTGTCCATGATACTTGATTATTATTATTATTATTATTATTATTTTTCCTCTGTTGGATTTGTGTTCTAGAAAAACTACTAAATGACATCCACCTTATGTATCAAAACATTGGAACTAAAAAGTACACACATCCACAATATCATTCTAGAAAGAAAAATATATATTATCACCACAATACAGTGCCAACAAACGAGCTCTTAATCTCACGAAGAAGTTACAAATTCTCCAGTTTTGTAAACAAGAACTAAAAAGTATCTACTAGCTATTTTAACATCAAATGGTTTCAAATATCCTCAAAAATTAAAACATCATTTTAAACTGAATGCAGTCATGAAAATGTTGTTGCTGCAGCTGCTGTTGCTGCTCAAGTAGCTTCTGAATTGTATCCAACTTCTCTTCCAAACCAAAGGTGCTTCCCACGCTTAGCGGAGGACCTACTATATTCTGGACCGGAATCATATCACAAAGGATAAACTGAGCTGAGCTACTTGTCTCTAGTACATCAGAGCAACACATAACATAAAACACTAACTATCAACAAACATCATTTTCCTTATGACATGTGAATATTGAGGGGATGTTGTTGTATAAATAATTTCATCATTTACTAGAACTGCTTTATTAAGTATTAGCCTTAACATGATAATTAAGGACGGACTAGTTGTGAGGAAATAAACTTACCGAAACCGATGAGTAAACATTCTCAAGCTGTTTAGCTATAAAAGTGCATGCATCAGATATGCAGCGCCTTGTAGCGAACATCATATCAGGAAGTTTCCAACCCTAAAACAAAAAACCTGATCTCTTAACCTGGTAATTTTTTAATTTTCTGTATTAAAAAAAAAATTACAAGTATTTAACATGAATATAAACAAAATAAATAAATTAGGTGTATAACCTGTCCTAAGTCATGCTCAAGCCCTTTGCTGGAAATGGATATTCTTCGTGGTCAAGGTTTGGCACATCTTTTTCTAAATAAAGAATAGGCTAACAAAGTAAAAACAAAAAGAAAAGAAACAAACCAATGAATGTTTGGGACCATGTCTGAATATTTGAATTTCAATAAAAAAAAAAAAAAAAACATTGTAAACCATAGTTCTTTTAAAGTTCTCTTTTGAAAATCCCTTAGTTTATTGGCATGGCCATGGAACCAAGCCTCCCTACTACCAACCAGTGCATTGAGATAATATTTGCTATCAATGGAAGGCTAGGCAGAATAAGAAAAAAGAAAATTGAGAAAGAAAGCTATATTTTTACTCTCTTCTTTGTTCATATAAATAATTCTCTCCCTTTACATTTAGTGCTGATTGAAATAAAGTTGAAGTTACTACTCTACCAATGTGATAGCCCATTACCCCATTACATAAAACACGATACCACGGAAATTTCATAGGACACACAACTTTAGTACCAAGGTTTCCACAAAAGGGTTCATCACAGGGTTTAGCTTTGACACTAAGTTTCCTATTTGTGGGCCCTTTTTAATAGCCTTATCTAAGCCCACAAAATCCAAGGAAAAAGAGATCTCCATTTTTAGATGTTGCATTTCTCAAGTGGGATTCTTCAATGTGTCATGGAATGGCAGGACTAGAGTGTGATTAATTTCTGTGTTAATATTATGTTTCCTTTTCAACCACACTGAATAGATACTATTACTTGATCATGGAGTTTCAGTGCTAAAATGTCATGAACAGATAGATCAACTACTCTAATATGTGTGTGTGTGTATATATATATATATTAATGGAGACATGATTCACAGTTCACACAAATAAGACATAATCAAGTTTTTTTTTTCCTTAAAGAGTCTAAGACAATCAAGTTCACTTATGACATTTTTATCTCTCTTTAATAGATGCATATATACTTGCTAACAAGATTTTGAAGCCATAACTAATGCTAAAATAAGAAGAAAAAATGTTACGACACATATGTTTTGGGAAATTAAAACAATTAAACAAATAAAAAAGAGCTCAAGGAGAAAAATATTCACAATAAATAGCACAAAAGCTAGAATTTATGATAAAAGATATGTATCCCATAATCTATTTTCTGTTGTGTTCTCAAAAACCAACTCACAACTAGGAACATTCTTTCCTATTCTTCTTAGTAATTGGAAATTAACACCAGTAATCGTCCAAGAAAAGCTATTTCACTACTAATAGATTTCTATATAACTAGTATGATATACATACAATCACAAGAAGAATGAAAATAAATCAAACATGTTATCAGACCACTTATGGGCTTAGAATTTTATTGTCATTCCCAAAAAAAAAAAAAAAAAAAAAAAAAATTATTTTCCCTATTTTTCCCATAGCAACAAATTAAATCAAATGGAAACAAATTAATGTTGAATTAATGAGCTTGAAAATTTCATTTACTTGTTAATAAGGATGAGAACACAATAATTTGAAAACTAATTAGGACAGCTAGCTAGATTCACCTTGAAGGGTTGCTCGATCAAAAGCCCATGAGAGTCATTGTCTTGATGCACATTTGATCTTGGATGCTGAATTGATAGCTCGGACCTTTTAGGGTTCTCAATATCAAACATTGAATCCTCATAATTATCTCCGGATGACCCATTATCAAACACATCTGATTGACCTAAATCAACAAAAATAAATAAACCCTAGTATGTTTACATCCTTCCAATTAATGTTTTTAAATAATTCGTAGAAATAAGCATAAAAGAGCTATAACAAAAGAAAGCAAAGTACAAGCTATAACAAAATATAACTAAATTTAACCCATCTACTTCTCATATTTACATTTTCTTCCACAACCCATGAATCTTTCTTTCATTTCTAATTCTTTTAATTCTAAATTTTTATTTTCCACGGCCAGAAATCAAATTTTGTTCTTTTCTACAATTTTTTTTTTTTTTTAAAAAAAAAAAAATTTCTACATTTCTATATCAATCAAAGAATAGTAATAAAATAAAATAAATTTCAGTTTTGGTATAACTCAATATATAACACAAATCAAATAACATTAATAAAGTTTCAAGACATCACACAACACTTAAAGAAGATATGCTTAAAGATCGAAGATATTAAAGACAAAGGAGAAAGAAATACCTCTAAAGTTGAATGCCATTAAGTCAATATAAAGACTTCTACGCAAGAACAAAGAGGCATTAGAATTATGTGACTTATCTGTCATTATCATTCTTTTCAGTCTACTTCTATAGATACCTTCCTTTCAAACTATTGTTTTTTGTTACTCTGTTAGCAAAGAAATTCCATCAGAAAAATAGGTGATATTTTAGACTACATTAAAGACCAAATAGAAAATCACAATCAGAATCTAGTTAAGTTTCCAAATAAGCAAGAAATTAAAATTTAATAGCTGCGATGGATAACAGCAAGCCTAAGGAGATAGAAATTAAAATCAAAGACTAATAGAAAAACTAAACCAAGAGGTAGATATAATTAAAGAAATGTAAGCAAGAAATTAAAATTTACAGAATATATATATTTACCTAGTGGAAGCCGAGAAATAGGCGATGACGCTGATCCTCTGTCCACTTTCATATTAATGCACTCTCCACAAGCTATAACAAAAGAAAGCAAAGTACAAGATTCTTGAAGAAAAGGGAAAGTCAAAAAGGGGCAATTTTCTTCTCATCTTCTTAAGTAGGAGTAGCTCCTAAGCAACAATCAAAGATTGGAATTGAGTTCAAGCTTTCCCTAGATCTAGACCTTAAAAAGAAACTTGAAAGGAACTTGAAAGGAAAATTAAGTCTAAGCCGTCAATATAACAACAATTTTTAGCTTTTAATGATTTGCTTGAAAAATAACTTGTGAATTAGCACATAGACGACTTGTTTTTTTATGCATGTCGTCAATTAAAGGTTGTAAAATATTAATTTTCTTGTAGTGTATATGTATATAAAGGATATATATACATATATATAAGGGATAAATTAATAAAGATAGAAAGTTCAAAAAACCTGTACGATTTTCCACAGCGATTCAGACTCATACGACAAGCCTTTTCTAGATTTGTAATTTACCCCTTCAATTGTTAGGCCTTTTGCAATTTCGAAACCCTAGAAAAAACTAGGGTGAGGATCATGAAACCCAAGTGGGTTATATGAATGTCAAATCGAACATGGAGGTTCTCTGAAAATCGAAGAAAGAGGCTCAAATTTGAATAATCCCTAAAAATTTTTAAAAATAAAAACGTTGTACCTCAGGATCATGATCTTGTGATTCGCTGAAGATTGAAGACGCTTTGAACAGGTGCTATTGAATTCGGTGAAAATCAAGCCCAAAGAATGTTTGATTAAGAGGTATGGTCTTCAGATTTCGTGCCGGTGGAAGACGTCTGCAACTTTTGAGATCGAAGAATTGAAGAGGTTTGTGACGGTGTAAGTTTGCAAATGATTGAATTTTTTTAGATTAAAACGACGTAGTTTGATGGGCTTCCCTATTTTGTAAAATAAAATAATTTTATATGTTTCATTTTTGCCCGCGTACAATAGCGCCAAACAAAAGAAAATTGAAGCGCTAAGTTTGGTGTTATTTTTTTTTGTTTTTTGGTGGAATTAGGGACGGTCTTAGATAGACTGTGCCAAAAAGAAACGTTTTTAGGGACGGGTTTTTGAGGTTTGGTGACGCATCAAATTGACCGTCCCTAAAGGCTGTTATTAGGGACGGTAAAATTTGCCCGTCCCTAATAATAAGATCTTTAGGGATGGGTTTTAGAGGTTTGGTGGCATATCAGATTGATCGTCCCTAAAGGCTGTTAATAGGGACGGTAAAATTTGTCCGTCCCTAATAATAAGAACTTTAGGGACAGGTTTTAGTGCGCCACTAAAAGACTATCCCTAATAGCCTAATTTCTTGTAGTGTTAGAAAGGTAATTTCATTACTCAATTTGGTCAATTTATAAGTCAAAGGATAAATTTGTCAATTCAGATGTGGCAGGCCATCATTGGGGTGTCTTTGTTACCTTTATCAAATTTTGAGGGGTGTTGTTATTTAAAAACAGCTCAATTTGTATATACATATTATTATAGTAAACTTTAGAGGGTGTCATTGTAATTAATCCTAATTTTATTGTGTGTTTAGAAATACATTTATTCAGGAAGTATAATTTAATGAGAAAATTACTTGCGAAAAAGAAGAGAATAATAATCTGGTCTAGAAGGTGGCTTCAATGGATGCATTTTCATATGGAATCTGAATAAACGAGACTCCTTTGTTTTCATTATGTTGCAAGAATCTTTATTCAGCAATTCTTTGATTATTATGTCAAATTACTTGCATCTTTCACCACTGTTTTAATTCATGCTTTTGGTTTTTATTTTCTTTTATTTATCTATTTATTTATTTTGCTAGCATGAATGTATCTTTTACTAGCATGAATATAACTTAAGGTGGATCTTCTAGGGAAATGAAGAAAGCAAAACCCAAGGATCTCTGGCAAAAAGATATTCCTAAGCAGGATAGACAGTAGACACTAGGTATTTTTTTCACCAAGAAATTGTTTTGTTTCTCTTAGCACTTTAATTGTTACTTTCTCTTATTCCCTGAGATAAATGACATTCTTCTGTTGGCGAAGGTTTTTGTCCATTTTTGACACTACCAAATATATCTGTAATATTTTTGAGTTCAAAATTACCCAGTTCACTGGAATGGACTTTTATGCATACATGAAAGGACACTCAATGTTACCCAGATCATTGGAATGTGGTTTAATGTGTATCATATGCAAAGGAACAGACGCATGAATTAGTTTGCATCTTAGGGTTGCTATACTTGTTATCGTTGTTTCTTGCTGGGAGAAATGCAAATTTCACCTAAAATGCACCTTTACATGAAACTATTCTTGCATCTTAATACCCCAAAAAACTGAATTATTCTTTCATGAAAATCCAGCCGTAATAATACTTTTAACAGATATATGAAATATATAAAGTAAAAAAGATATGCCAGGGCATGTCAGAAACCTGTCTTGGCATTTCTAGTCTGTCTTGGGTATCCTCTAATACAGCTTCTTTGTAGAAGTATTTCTGCTATTTTATTGCAAAATAATTGGAGTCTGAACAAAGAGGACATTCAAATATGCAATCCCTTATATGATTAAAAGAACAAAAAAATAAATTTTACCACCCTATGGAGGAGAAAGAAATTGTGATTCTGATAGGAGATGAAAACAAACTACCACCTTGGTGAATTCCCTGGATCAGCAGCAGTTCATCTGCGAAATGTGTTTTTATGTGACTATTTATTCCATAGTTGTAGTTATTTATCCAATCAACCCAGGTCTTCACTTAGAAGTTACAGTTCTAATTCTCCTCTTGACTACTCTTGCCTCTTGCATTATGATTCTGATGGGGCTTGTTGAATTGCTGATGATTTTTTTTTCCAAGACTATAGTGCACTTGGCTGTTCTGAACGTTTTGTCTATATAACAGAAAAACATTCAGAATCTCTGCCTCCCACCCCAAACCCTCATTCCCTTATGGATTAAAAACAAAAAATTACATTTCATAGACTCTTTAGGAAGAAAACTCCAGCCAAAAGAGGACATGTCAAACTGGACTTGGTGCACCTATATTGTAAGTTCATCTGTTTGTATTGGTGTATTGCCTTTCTAGGGGGAAAATAGATTTCATTTCTTTATACTCCTCTAGACTAACTTTCCTACTGTAAAATTCATTCTCTAATTGAAAACTACTGGAAAGGTTTGTTGGAGGTTTGTTCAGTTAATCATTTCATTGATTTGCATTAACTGTGTTCCTTAAGAGTCCATTCGGATTGAAAGATTTAAAACGAATTGATCTAGGTTCAGTTATATAAAGAGTATAGCTTAAATCTAGTATTAACAATATGCGTAAATCAATTTGAAATCTTTTTGTCTGTGGATCTCAAATGACAAGGTGTAAGGAATTTCAATAGCCAATGTAAATGGATCTAGTTACACAAGGTTTGTAATAAAAAAATGCCTCCCATGCTATAATCTAACTTGTCTTTGTGCTTTCAAATCCAGTTTCAATAGCCAATCTACAATTTAAATTCAAATTCCTTCATTTCAATTCATTCATTTACCCAAATATACCATAAGCTCATTTCTAAACAATTGCTTAATTCTATATTTAAGAATACAGCCTTCATATACTAGCTTGTCAACCTTGTTTTTATTGACTGAATGTATGGCATGGTTTTTTAATTATTCGAAGAAGGCAGCAGCACGGAAATGCTGAGACATGCACTGAAGAAATCTACAAGTTCAGAATGATTTAAGATTAGTTAGAATATGATAGACAGCTGAACAATCATTGAGGATTGCATTCTACAATCACTGTGGATTAGCTTTATCTTATGTGGTTAATTTTTTTTGACTTTGTGAAAATTTTCTTCTTTCTGCATTTCCCTGATTTTTCCATATCCTCAATTATCTCAACTGCCGATTCCATGAAAAATTCCTTTCCCACTCTTAGCCCTGGAAACTGCTGGAGGCAACAATTAGTGCTACTATCATGAAAATTGAATTAGTCAAGCATCACTCATAAAACCATTAAGAATTTAAGACTGTTATTTACGGTTTGTATGGAGTAATTGATTCAGCCTTGCTTGAATCGGAAAAGATCCTAGTTTGAGGCACCCTTCACCCTTGCAAGAAACCTGCGATTGGCAAACCTTAATAATCCTGAATTGAAACATCAAAAACTATTCGACACTATCCAACAATTATGTACTAGAATATCCTGGGGTTGGATTTCATCTTCACAAAGTCTGATAAAGGTTTTACAATTGTATGAACAACTTATCATAACCTTCTTTGTTTTTTGGGGCTTGGACAGGTGTATAAGGATAAAAGGCTACCATTTCTCAAACGGAGCTATCTAAAAAGGTGGCCTCAAAGAAACTGAAGGATGTACAGTGACGAGTGGCAGATGAAAAATTCAGGTGTGTTTCAGTTCCTTAGAAATACACTTCTACACAATATGCTGTCAGCTACAACTTTTACCAATTACCAACATTTCAAATCCACATTGACATACAAAATCACAAAGGCGGTTTGTCATTAACTACAACCATCACAAACACCCAAAAAAAATTTAATAGCTAACCCCCACCCTCCCCAACAAAACCAATGCAGTGAAATATAACCAGCACAGGGTTAGGAGGTGGATGGTGGTGTTGAATGTAAATTATCCTGTGGTGATGTGGACTCCGATGGCAATGAGAAAGATGGTGATGAGGCCGAAAAAGATGATGGTATGGACTAAGATGGATACACCGCTTGTCTGCATGTTGGCAAACTCCACCGCCCGTTTGTTCCCTGGAAGCTGGAACAGCAGCCCCGGCGTCAATAGCACGAATAGCACTACTGCTATCACCACTGGCCCCCAATCTGCCATTACTCTCTCTTTCTCAAGGGTGGTACCCTAAGTTCTTAATGAGACTACTTATCAAAAAAAAAAAAAAAAAGGTTCTTAAAGAGACTGCAAAAGAAAGATGACATTAGGAGTAGAAGATTTATAGTAGATAGAAACAAAGGGAACCAATTTGAAAAGAGAGAGAGATTTGTTTTTTTTAGCCGAACACCAAAATGGAGAGAAACTCAAGGACAAAGAAAGGTCCGAAATTGGGAGGGAGGCATTGGATTGCTCGTCTCTTTCTCAAGATTATTAACCCATCGTGGACGGCAAGCGTGGTAGTAGCTTTTAGTCCTTTGGACGGCTGTGTAAGGTACCAACAGGTCAAGACTGACAAAATTCATGTTGGCGTGATTCAGATTTTTGATCTTATTAATTAGAACCCAAATTGAATTGGGGTTCAATTTTGGGCTGATTTGGAGTACTTTCGAGTTGGGATCTTGAATACTGCATTAGTTAAAGTTCTTGAAGCCCAAAAGTGCTGAACCCTATATGATAGCATATTAGCAGCATAGGACAGCCTATTAGAAATAGAACACCACCTTAGGGGCAACTGGCAAGTGTGATGCTTTTACTTTCTATTACATCAAAGTGTCATGATGCTTTTACGTTGATCAATATTTAATCTAATTTCCCTTAAAGATGTGAAATATACTAATAGTAGGAAGCATTCCGACCCACCTATCTTTAGCTCCTCCAATTAAAACACGACACGCCCATCTTCAAATCTATTTTGTGGTCTTTCTTTTAGAGTTCCACCTTCATGATTAAGTTTTGTAAAGCAAGGGAAAACCCCTCAAGTGATTCAATTATTAGTAGCTTATGAAGGAAAAGTAGTTTGTTTCGATCTTCATAAAGCAAAACCCACTACCATGACATACCTTTCCTCTCTTTTAAACCCACTCTCTTCCTTGCCTCCAAGTTTAGCATCACCATCTCCTTCTTCGTTAAGAAAAATTGGTCTCGTACATCCATCCCTCTACATATTCGCAGAGAACGTACACTTGAGTCCTTGTTCTCATCTATAGCGCAATATCAGATATTCATCTTTGCTTTCAAAGACAGATGGGTGCTGATTGGGGACCAGCTGTTGTGGCCGTGGTTATGTTCATTCTATTGTCACCAGGGCTACTGTTCCAGCTACCAGCGAGGACGAGGGTGATAGAGTTTGGCAACATGTGCACCAGTGGGATTGCAATCTTGGTTCATGCAATTCTATATATTTGTATATACACCATTTTGATCATTGCCATTGGTGTTCACATACGTGCAGATTGATCCAAAAGCTTCCTCCAATAATTCCTGTTCTCTGCTTTTCCTCTTAATAGATTTTCTTTTTCCATCCTCTGTTACTTTCCTTTGCTGTGTTTTATTAGAATATTGTATGACTCGTTTCATGATTTGGTTTATATGGAAGGAAACATGTTTTTGAACTCTATAAATTAAGTAGTTTTATGTAAAATATGTTTGATTAAATGGTGGCGTTGTCATTCGCTCTCAAAAAAAAAAAAATACTCAGGCGCTCCTCTCATTCTTCCATTAAACTGAAATGACAAAAGTCTCCCTAGTCAAACTTTCCGAGACAGACCTGTATTGTGCGTCTTTCAAAAGTAATTCAGTCGGTGCTAAGACTTTATTAGTATTTTCAGCGGCATGGCAGAATTGCTTTCCCGGTGTGGCATGCAGTGAATGCATCTGTTTAGATCTGTTGCAATAATAATTTTCAAAGGGATTCGAACTCGCACATGCATTCAGGATCTGACTTGGCCCGGCCAATAAGCTGGTACACTTTATTCTTTATTATTAAATGGAGATGAAACATTTCAAAATTACCAAGCAAGAAAGAAAAAATAAATAATAATCTATCTATTAGTCATTCATTCTCAGTCAAACAAATCAAATCAAACTTGATTTATTTTACTAAATGAACTCCATAAAGATTGTTCCTAATATTTTATAAACCAACACAAATCAACTTTGTTTTTGTGTAGTTTATTTCCTTACAATTATCGGCTTCGGTTCCAAAAATAGTAAAACTGATTGAATTGGTGTGGTTCAAGTTTTAGAGTCTCAAAAGATCGACATCAACCTTAGTATGTATATATGTATGTATATATATGTGTGTGCGCGCGCGCACGCGCATTGAAACCGGGTGAATCCGGTCAATTTCCGACAAGCAGAACGGAAGGAGATGATGTTCTAAAACTTCATCAAATCTCCCCGCATGTGGTTATGGGACAGGAAGGTTTACTAGTTGGAGAGGAATTTTAGTTAAAAATTTGAACTGAATCTTTTCCAATTTTAAATTCAAAATGAAGATTCAGGTTCTCAAACATAACATAATATTTTTTTTTTTTTTTAAATATGTAAGATTACAAAGGCCAACACTATCCATTTTGAATCTTCACTAAATTTTTGATCTCATGGATGATTTTTGCCTAAAAATTAATATGTTAGTTTAGTAGTATTTCTTCTGCCTTTCAAATTGATAAGTGAGAGCTCGAGTCTTGGAACTCTTGTAAGAACAAATAGGTGCATGAGTTTCTTGCAAATGTAAAAAAGTATCTTAAATTTTTGTAATAAATATTTAAAGAAAAATTATGGTTGAATCTGAGTACAATTTTTTCCCAACGTATAAAGAAATTGTAGTTGAAAATTTTGAAAACGCATGAGAGAAAGTTGCAAGAACACTGTTTCTTTTAAGTGAATAGTATTTTTTAGTAGGTCCTTTTATTCTTTTTTTCATTATCAAACAATTCACGCACCCATTTATTTTATTGAGAACTCGAACTCAACTCTAGGTTACAGCCTTTGATGTATATTTTTAGAAGGCTGAAGATGACTACTTTCAGCAAGATGTGAAGGGAAGAAGGTGCTAAAGTTGTAATTTTGTGGCGTGGTACGTTTGTAATTTAATGGTATTTATAAGGCTATTGTTGTCCAAATATGAAAAAAAAGGCTACGGTTGTGTTTTCACACAAGGCCAAGGGTAGTTCAGTCCATACATAAGTATTAATCTGATGATTTCAGTAAGAGCATCTCCAATGCTAAAAGCTAAATTTGGATGTCAAATCTATATTTTGACAAGTGCTACAGTGTCAAAATGCTACAATTTAGCAATTATGCTCTAATAGTGCAAAATGCTATTTTATGACACTACCACCATTCTTTTTCAACTACCATTCCCACCATTCATATTTGCATCAATAATATTAATATTAGGCACATTCCAAGTCAAGTTGCAGATATTAAAAGAAAACTAAAATAAATCTAATTAAAAATGAGCAAAAATCTAAAACATCGGGTCAAAAAAAAAAAAAAAAACAAATTTTTTATAATTTTTTTTCCACTATTTGTGAATTAATTTTTTTTCTTTATATATATATATATATATATATATATATATATATATGTGTGTGTGTGTGTGTGTGTGTGTATATATTATATATATTTGATTATATAATTATTAAAAATATATATATTTTTAGGATAAATCATATCAGCCTCCCCAATCGCCTCTATCTCATTCTCAACTCTAAGAACTTGCCCTCTCTCTCTCTCCAACTGTAAACTACAAAATCTACAAGAATCAGAAGTTCAAAACCCATATATTTCAGTTCATCTTACCACCCCATCCCACCAATAGGCTAAGAAGACCTGAGGAATCTACTACTGCATGTGTCTTCATGGGATCTGAACCCTCAGTGCCGGTATTTTGATTATTTTCATTTCCTCTTTCAAGGCTGACAATTGGAGCTGCTGAGCCAATGGAATCTATCCGTCTGCAAGAATCCAAAGTTCAAAACCTATTACCTATATCAAAACCTATATCGGCATTACTATTTCATCATATTCATCCGATCTCCGGTCGCTGCCACCCTTTTCATCGGAGCTCATGCCACAACCCAAAACCACGGCGACGGCAAAGGGAGCCACGATTGGACCATCCAGAACCACGGCTGAGCAGCATCTTGGAGTCCTCCAGTGGGCCCAGATCGTTGAATCCGCCGCCGAAGTTCAGAATCCAGCAACGGCAGAAGCCACAACCGGTCGTTGCAGATGAGAGGGAGAGAGAGACGACAGAGATAGCGATATCGAGGGACAGAGAATTGAGGGAGATAGGAAGACGTTGCATATGAGAGGAAAAGGGTTGTTGCAGATGAGAGGAAGAAACGGTGTCGTAGGCCATTAAACAGACTTGTCAAAAAAAAATTGGCAGCTCTTACATTTGAGAGAAAAAAATGAGATTTTCAAATTTTGAGAGGCCAAATGAAAGGCCATTGGAGAACCTGTTTTTTACTCATCTCTCAAATTATAAGTTTGAGAGCCCAGAATAAAACAGCATTGAGATGCTCTAACATTTAGCTTGGCACAATCTCTCTCATTTATCTGTATGCATCAGTTTGGTGTAATGACGGAAGCTAGTGACAACAAAACATTTCAAATGATTCTTTGCATCCGAAAAGTAAATGTAGAGTGGTTTAATTCTTATACTTCACACTTATTTTATTGAGTAAAAGATGTATACAAGACAATAATTTTATAATTCAACATTTTAGGATTACCCCAATCAACATAAATAATATATAAAAAATAATAATAATAATAATAAGTATTATGCAATATAAGAACAATAAAAGAACCAAGATGATATTTAACACGAGGATTTGATAAAATTATGTATGAAAAATGACCAACGGGTTAATGATCTAGCGGTATCGGCCTTTAATATCCCAAAGAGAGTTTAGGGGTTTAAGTATCCGAAGTGGTGTATGAGTACCAATTAAAAAAATAAAAAATAAATGACAATGGTAAAATAAGTTGAAAAAAATTAGCAGTATGCTGGGACAGTATGATCTTCCCATGGTCCCTTACGTGCAGTTGATTTGTGTTATGTGTGGAGTCCACCACTACTTCACTATCCCCTCTTAGTGGGTGGCGTCATCACTCATCAATTATCGACTTTTCCTCAATTATATAGCAAGAACCATTAATGATATTATTAATGATATTGGTAAAGGTTGTATGATTAGTGATAAAGGAATATGGGTGGCATAGATCTGAAATAATATTGGTGCAGTAGTGAAGGAGACATACATGTTCATAAATCATTTCCTTTGGTCAGTAATGATTGAAGTTTAATTTTGGACTAATTGTTAGCACAAAATTAGCAGGCTAAACAAGAAGTAGTCATAAATAAAAATGTAGATCTTTGATATATATACCATACATATATATCCGATTAAAAGGAGAGCAACTAAAATTAACGACTAGGACAGAGAGATTATTAAAAAGGGGTAAAATGGAAGTAGTGTACTTCAGCCAGTATAGATGTGGACGTGGACGGCCAGGATGAGAATAGCGTAGATGGCGAAGAAGATCATAGTGTGGACGGCGATAGACTTACCGTTGGTCTTCATGCTCCCAAACTCCAGCTGTTTGCTGTTTCCTGGCAACTGAAACAGTAGCCCCGGCGACAGCAGCACGAACAGCACCACGCCGATCAATATAGGTCCCCAATCCGCCATTACAATCCCTTCCAACGCACCTCGCACTCCACCGGATTGATTAGATTTGGATTTAGAGAGAGAGAGAGAGAGAGAAATAACAGCAAAAAAAGTAAGCTTTGGGACAACGCTACAACGAGCAGTGAAAAAGGTAGGTCATGTGAATTGGAAAGAGGGAGTATAAAACGTCCGCTAATCAAGATGGGGACACTTGGGATATGGGACGGGAACAATTTGTAAGCACAAGGACAACAGTGGGCCTTCAAATGTATAGATATATATTTCAGCACTCAAAGGGAATGTTGTTCTTCTGCAATCGGTCCACATGAATTTATTACAATTAGCTGCCTGTCCGTCCAAGTTGGTGCCACATCGTGTCATTACGTATTATAGCGTAAAATTCGGAAGACCCTCGTCAATAAACTCATTTAAAAATAAATAAAAAAAACTAATTCTAGAAAAAATATATATTTTTGCCCCTAATTTCAGTGTCGTTCGCCACCGAATTCCTTTTTCTTAAATAAATGGATGGAATTATTGAAAGTTATTATCAGAGTAGACCCTATTAATAAGTGGACCTTATTCCAACCGTTTGAGATTGACAACTAATAATTTTTTATTATGGTGCAAGTGATTGATTTACATTAGACTCACCCAGTTTAAACACGTAAACAAGCATACAACTTTACTTATTTTCAAAAGATAAAAATAGATAATCAAAACATTATGGACTTTACCTCCCAACGTTAGTGAGCTGTCACTACGTTGCAGCAATTGGGATATGATGTAACTACCTCAACCTATCAGCTTGGACTTGACCACTATACAAAATATTTTTAATATTTTGCATTATCCAACAAAGCTAAGCTATAAGAAATAATAGAGCTAGAATAAAAGCAAAAGTAGATGATTAGTACTGGTTTCATATTCTAGCTTTATTTATTCCCTCTTTGAAGTAGTTGCAGACAATTATATGGCATCCAAAGCCCTTTTTCATATGCTTTTCTCTTAATAATCCTCCTACTCTTCTTCTTGTTGTTGTTGGAGGGTCAAGTTTTAGAAGTTGTTGCAACAGTTGGTGAGATCGATTAATTAAGAATGAACGATTGGGCTGCTCCGATCATTGGCGCCGCCTTGTTTGCATTTCTGTCACCAGGACTCATCATTCAACTTCCGGGAAAGCATCGACCAGTTGAGTTCATGAACATGAAGACGACTGTAGCCTCCATACTATTGCACACAGTTCTATTTGGTTTGTTTCTTATTTTGTTTCTTGTAGTTCTTAATGTTCACCTTTATGTCTAGGATGTCAAATTAGTCAACATCTTTAGTGGCATGAAGGAGGAGGTTTTGTATCAACAAATCACTGAAATATAAGTTTCTACCCTTTTATTAATTACAGATATTGATGCTCAATCTTCCCTACAAAATTAAGAGGCTATGTATCTGTTGGATGAAATATTAAGGTTTTATTACCCTTGTATTATTATTGATTTTGCTTCGTATATCATGTTTGCTTCGATTGTTTTGTCTTTTTTAATTCGATGATGGTTTTCATGAATTGTGTCAATTGGGAATTTCTAGCTCAATGATTTAAGAAACCTCGCAGACACACATGGTTTACATATAATGAAAAAGGCCATGACAGATCTTAGACGGATCAATTTCAAAGTTGTTTTTTGACGGTGCTCATGAGTTTCAACACAACTTTAGTCCCTTTAATTTCATTATTGCTATCAAATCCATATATTTTTTTGGTTTTTTTTTTTTTTTTTTTCCGGTAAATTAAAGCACGTATATTATTCATATATTTTTATAAACTGAGCTTCACAAATTTTTTTTTTTCTTTTTCGCTAAGTTGCTGAGCTTCACAATTTCATACTTACACAGTCCAAAATATATATAACTAACTTACAGGAATATATATATATATATATATATATATACACACACACACACACCATCTTTGCCAGTTTCATTTTAAAAATTAAGTCGAAAAGAAACTAAACAGCATCTTGAAACAAATTAATTCACTTATTTTAGCATGTATGATTGTAATTTATTTTATTTTATTGGTAATTATATAGGATTATAACTCTGCTAATTAATCAAATTAAATAATTAGTTTACCCAAAAAAAAAAAAATCAAATTAAATAAGAAATGAATCCATAAAAAAATGAATCGACCTTATGTCATTTTACTTTCCTCAAATTAGAATGTAAAACAAGGAAAAATCAAATCCAATCAAAGTCGATAACAAATTAAATTGAGAAGCACCAGAATTTGAGAAGTGAGATTGAATTGGTGTGAGTCACCAATTATCAACCGATGTACATGTGGACCCCAACAGCTAACAAGAAGATGCAGATGAGAGCAAAGTAGAGGAGTGAATGAACCAGTATGGATAGCCCACTGGTGTGAAAGTTGCCAAACTCAATGAAACGGTTGCGGCCTGGCATCTGAAACAGCAGACCCGGCGTCAATAATATGAACAGCACCACTGCTACAAACACAGGTCCCCAATCTGACATCTTTACACGCACTCTCTCTATATGTGTGTGTAATCTCCCCTCTTCTTGTGATTCTACCAGTATTGCACAATTGGTGACATTGCGAATGAAAGGTATGCTATTTATAAAGGTAAGATTTTGCAAGGAAGAGACACGAGGGACGACTAGGAAAAGTGATGTTTAGCGCATCAAGCAATTTGGATTCCCACTACCTTGGCATGTACTTCACTAATTACAAAATTAAAAATTAAAAATTCTACCCCAAATGTACTAATAAAAAAAAACTTGTCCTTTAAATGCTGATATACAAAGAGACTTGAAGGGTTAAGTAATTCAAAGGGCGGTGCTTAAAGATTAAAAGCACTTCGTTGTTGCTTCAAGACAATGTTCTAGTGCTGCCTTTTGTATGCATATCCTTCATCATCACGTTACCACAATACCAAAAATGGTGTCAATGATCCGTGTGCGTGAAAGAGAGAGAGAGTTTGGTTTTCAAATTTAGCAACTAAAGACTCGCGCGGTTGCATCTCTGCCGGTATAAAGCCCTCAGTTCAGGATGCGTTTGGATGGTTCGAGGAATACACGATTTTAGTTTCTGAAACTACCTATTCACCATTTTAAAACAAACTAGACGCTGGATAAGCTCTAGCCATGTCCACTTGAAATGAAGAATGTAGGCTCCAGCTCAATGGTAAGAAAAATCAAAATAAAATCCAAGTACGGTAAAGATGGTTTTTAACAAAGAAAAAGTTGTTCTTACATGATCATTTAGTTTAACTAAAATAGCTCTCTATAACTGAATTTTTTTACATATAAATCTTACATACATTTTTCAACATGCTAAGGTACAACCCAACAATCCAGAATAGGCATTGAATCCTATTGATCAATTCATCCAATCACAACAACAACAGTCCCAGTCCCAGTCCCAGTCCCAGTCCCAGTCCCAGTCCCAGATTCGGGACATGATAGGGAAAATGATACAAGCAAACAACCAATCAGGAGAAATTCAAATAATATCTTTCAACTCCTAAAAGCTATATTTTAGCAAACTTTGTCTAACATCCCATTTGACTTCAAGCATAATTCAAACGGAAGATATCATTCAGCACATAGAAACTTCCTTGTGGCATTGGCATCAAATGAAACATCTGTAAGCCAAAAAGAGCAGGTTGAAAGAAACAAAGGGATTATATTAGAATACAGTCAGAACAAATGTAGCAATGCGCCATCTACGACGATGGACATATTCATCTACAATAATGAGTGTTAGTAAAATAACAAAGATGGAAAGAGTCATCTCCCCTCTATACATCCTAGACCATAGAAGTTATGTAGTATAATAACTAAGATGGCACTGAGACACTACCACCAAATATGTAGTTATTCATTCTTTCCTAGTCTAAATCATGATTTCATCTTCCAGCGTAGAGAAAATCTACTCATTCGGAATAGTTTCCCACCAGCCAAACAAACTTTTATCTTCCATTTGGTTCTCAAAAAGATATGAAGAAAAGAAAATGCTAAAACTCCTTGAGGAAGTCCTACAAATTTTTTTTACTTCATCTCCTTCATTCTTCCCAAGATTCAAGCAGAGCCTTAGACTTGCTACACTCCTTATTCATACAAAATACAAATGAGAGATGTAATGGAGAGATGTATAGCAGAAAAACAAGTCCAAGCCTCTTAATGATGTCATCTCATGAACAAGGATACACAGTAGCTGATCACATAATTGTAAAGTTGATATAACTTGGATTCATTCTTACACAATTTAGGTATCCCATCAGCAACAGGTATTTAAAAACTATTGCAGATAGGTGTCAATCGATCATAAATTAGGGAGGAGGTGGAAGCTAATGGTCATATTTATGACCGAACAAAAGAAAATAATTAAAGAACTTTATGCAATCACACTTCATTGATGCAATTTAGCATGCGAGCATTGGAAGATGCAAGCGCATGGCACCAACTATACATGGATGGTTGTAATGGACTAGAGAGTAATTAAAAATATGTCAATTCACCCCTTAAAGCAATCGCAATTGCCCATTCTTGAGGGCACCATCCATATGGGTCCTAATTCCTAAATAAGTGCAACCTACTTAAAACATGATAGACCTATCATACATGGATGGTTGCGTACAAGGTAAATGGAAGATGTTCATTTATATCCCACCTCAAAACTGAGTGGGAGCCAAAACCATGAATCAAAGTCCACAAATCCATTCAGTTACAGCTTTCAGCTAGCAATGTCCTACTACCAGCAATTTGCATGGTAACCCTACAAGTTCTGTGGAATATCATGTACGTCCGAGCTTGAGCATTCTTGATATCAATATGCTGGAAATCTAAGTAATATGCCCAGTCACTCGGGTTTCTACAGTTAGCAACAGGTGATGTTGTAATGAGATACTGCTTGAAATGCTCAAATCCTATGCCATACAAGACATGCAATGCCTTTAGGACTAATCTAAAGGTACTGGATGCTATTATAGTTTTGAAAAAACCAACAATTGGTGAAAGACCTGGCTGCGCAACCAATCATTTGATCAAGATGCTTCACATAGAACGTCAATCATGTTCATGGTATGTCTTGCATATGTAACAATGAAGTTGGAGCATCTATAGTTTTGATTGATAATCCAGCAGACATGTGAGCATTTATAGATGTTTATTATGCAGGTGGAATTAAGCCTGATTATGTTAGTTCGAGAGAAAACACTCTGTACACTTGCCTATGCATGATTTGAAAATGTTAGAATAATGAAAATGTTTTATGTTTGTCAATTCTGACTCCTTACATTCATCTTACGGGGATTCATATCTTTCTTCCCAATCCTAAGTGACATGATAGGAAAGGAAAGACCCAAGTTAACAAATAAAGATATCCTAATTCATGAACGATACACTGTTTTGCACACACATAACAAGTGAAAACTACCACCATCAATTATCAACAAAAAGAACCAAAATCAAATTAATCAAGGGGAAAATTCCACAAAAATGGGGTTTTGCGAGTCAAAGACAAAAAAATGGAGTCAAAATCAAGTTTTCCAAATTAATGGAATTTTATGTAAGTCTGAAGTGGATATGAAAAATTACTATATATTTTCTTTTTATTCCCAAAATAACATTCTATTATTGTTATGAAATTATGCTACTAACCCTCTCAAATCTAGAGAGAGAAGAGAAACACATCTTTGCCAATCCTCTCAAACTTTCCTTCTCCAGCAGCTCCTCTTTTCTCAAACTCCCTAATCACACTGTCAAAATCATTGGAAAAAGAATGAAGTCAAAATTCACTTTTATGTTCAAATGTAATTTGCTTTCTAACTTTGATTTCTTCCTCTATTTTACTTATCAATTTAATTTCCCTTCTAACTTTGATTTCCCCGTCTATTTATTTCTATTTTACTTATTTATTTTAATGTAATTTTTTTTATTAAAATAATGAAGTTTCACAATTATTAAAATAAATTTACTAAACAAATAAAAATGCCATTTAAGCCGACATTAATAAATATTACAGTCTCATTACCACTGCCAAATTTAAGATTTTCACAGTACATAAATATATAAAAATAAATAAGTAAAATAGGGGGGAAATCAAAGTTAGAAAGGAAATTACATTAAAAACTAATGATTTATAAAAAAAAAATGAACAGAAAAGTGAATTTGACTTCATTCTTCTTCCAGTGATTTTGACAATGTGTTTCGGGAATTTGAGAAGAGGATCTGTCAGATAAGGAGAGTTTGAGAAAATTAGCATAAATGTGTTTCTCTTCCCTGTCTAAACATGAGAGAAGTAATAGCATAATTTTATAACAATAATAGAAGAGTATTTTAGGAATAAAAAAGATGATGTATAGTAATTTTTCATGTCCAAGTTAAACTTTCATAAAACTTCGTTAATTTAGAAAATTGAATTTTGACTTCATTCTTTTATCTTTTGACTTCCCAAAACTCTATTTTTATGGAATTATCCTTAATCAAGAGTCAGCGACAGAACAATGAAACGTAAATCATAACATGCTTTAAAGCTCAAATATTAAGCACACCAATCGCAATAAAGAGAAGGTGAGGTGTTTGAAGTTGGACCTGACTAAATTTGAGGGCATGTTGTTCGCCGGCGAGCTGCAGATTGCCGCTGACGAAGACAAGCATACCTCCGGCCGGACCGGAAGGCTGGCAATCGACGGTGGTAATGCTGTGCTGGCACTGCTGGAAGGGAAGACTGTTGAGCTTGGAAACGATGTTCTGAGAGCCCTGGATCTTCTGACCCTCGAAAGTCAACATGGACCCATCTTGGTACAAGTTAGCCAGGCCCGCACGATTCGCATCGAACGTCGAGTAGTAGTGCTCCACAAACGCTTTTGCTACTGCGTCCGGATCCATTTTCTCTTCTCTCTCTATCTCTCTCTCTCTCTCTCTCTCTCAAATCTACATCAATTCCAATTCATCCCTCTTTCTCTATCTTCTCGCTTTCTTCCCTGGAATACTACGCCATTAGGGAGCAAATGTTTGGTGGGCCCATTATATAATCTGCTTAACTTTCCAATTACATAATTGACCTTTCCAGTCCCCCCCCCCCCCACAAGGCCCGAGTAATTTGGGCCGAAACTACCCACTTAAACCAGTTGAATGCTCGTATATGCCTAGCAAGCGACTACGGAGTACTGACCAATTCAACCCAATCCAAAGTCATATATTGGATTATATACAAATTCTCTTTGATTTAATTTTAAGAAATTAATAAAAAAAAATTTATTAGTGTTCTCCGAAATTGAATTTTTTAAATATAGGAAACACTAAACAGTCGACCAAATAAATTTTTAAACTTTATTTTAGTTTTCAAATCTGTGGGAGAAAAAAAAAAAAAAAAAGTGCTCGGAGAATTAAGGCCACCAAAAATCGAGTATAAAAGTTATGTTTAAAGACTTTATGTCAACTCAAACGCTGAATTTATTAGTTAGATAGAGAAATTCATCATTTCCACCAATGAAGTACCGACACGCATAGGCCATGGGGTTCAGATTTTTTTATTTTTTTTAAAATAAGAGGATAAAGAGATATATATGTGTGTGATTGGTGTATTAATAGAAAGAAAGATTGAGGGAGATAAAGATGTTAACAGATTGAAGACATGAGAGGGTCTGTTCCAGGAGGAGAGAGAACTTCCATTTTGACTTTTGGCCCCTTTCGACCGACCGATGGAAGCTGGCTGTTTGCTATCATCAATTCCTGTTGGAAGCATATGCTTCCTCTCTTGTCTCGTTCCGCAGAGATAATTGCAAAAAAAAGATAATAACAAACCTAGGGAACAGAGAACTGATAAGATTGCAATCTTATCCTTTTGAACTTTTAGATATAAATATATATATTTATTTTTTTTTTACATTTAAAAAGTATTTGTAAATTTTTTGATAATTCAGTGAATTAACTGAATCGGTGTAATTTAGATAGTCAAGTTTTTACTAATCTAAGCAAAAATATAAAAATATAGAAGGTATTTAGGCCTATATTTTCAAGAGAATAATGGAAGTGATGTTTATTAAATGTAAATTAAAAATTAAGTAAAAATAATATATATATATATATATATATATATATATATATATTATAATGTATATTATTATTTTATTATCGTATCATTGTGGTGTCTGTATCTTATTTTTTTTAAATTTGCCGTATCCGTCTCGTATAGTACCCGTATCATGTATCCATGTCCATGCTTCGTAGATTTCTACTAAATAATATACATGATAGTCTGATACTGATATATCAAAAGTAAGGGTGCAACTTGGGCGGGTCAACAGTTCGAAATTTTTGAGACTTGGGCTTTTAGATTCACACATCGAGTTGGGAGTTTTCAAAGCTCAAACGTGCCCGGGTTGGGCTCAAGCTCAACTCAAACCCAACCCAAAATTCAAATTTTAAAAAAAATTCAAGCATGCTTGGTTTATAACTCTGAAAACAGTTCTCAAAAACTTAAAAAATAGAGAGCAGTTTTCAGATAATTATAAAAGACTATTCTCTAAAAACATGCATTTTTATAATTGAATTTTTACGAAACAGTTTTCTGAAAACTTAATCAAACAGAATTTTCAGTTTTCAAAGTTCCGAGAATAGAAGACTGTTTCAATAATTACAAACCAAACAAGCCCTTTCATTTTTTTTTTTTCACCTTCCAAATCTGTGATATACATATATGTGTGTGTGTGTGTGTGTTTCGCCATCCAAGAGGCACACCATGTTGCACTCCGGCCACCTGGTTAACCGGAGAAGAAGCAGCGGTCACTCCTATTTGCAGCAACCGAAACCCTGCACCAGATAGAAGACTTGCACCCTTTCAAGTAAACCCTAACTTTTTTCGAGTAATATCGGCCCTTCTTGTTCGCCGAAGGCTGGAGAGCCTTGACTTGACTCTTGCTGACCTGATAGTTACTTATTCTATTTCCAAACATGGGACCGAGCTTGGCCATTACTATTTTACTTCCTCTCTTCATCAAAGGATATGCATAGACCTTCTTCCTTCCGAGAAGAGATGAAAGGAGAGGATGATTATTATTAAGGGGAACTGATCTGTGTCCCAACCAAACAAACTCCCCATTCCTTGCAAATTTGGGACGTTAGGTATAGAATATTTACCCTCTCTTCATGAGAAATGTTCCAGTTACTTTCCATTTATAGTTTTACTTTTTCGCCATACTTATGAATTTTTTGGTGTTTTTTCAGTAACATTTCCCTCTTCGGTAGCTAGGGACAAGCTTGCTTTCCTCGAGGAACAAGTTTGGAACGACCCCCTTTCTGTAGAAGACCTTCTTTCTTCTGTCAACCTCAAAGAACTTACTTCCAGTGCCTCAGCCGCTGATCTTATGGACTTATCACTTCCCTCATTCAATTGTTTCCCCCTCTTACCGATGAAGAAAAGAAAAGGGCTGAAGTTCTTAAAAGAAAGGCAACAGAGGATCCACCACTTATGGTTATTCGATCTAATAAGCAAGAGAAGCAGGTTGCAAAGCCTCCTTTGAAGAAAAAACCTAAAACAACTTCTTCCTCAACCAGTAAGAGAAACGGTGTTAACCTTGCGAAAGATAAAGGAAAAAAAGACAAATGAAGCTGACCCTAAGAAAGAGGCTAGAGACTTCATCCTAGCAGAATCCGGAGAACCCTGGAAACCTACCTTTTCTAGGGCCAACAAGTCAGTTCTCCATTCTGGAGATTCCATTATTACCTACCCTTCCGCAGCATTGGCCGTCGCTCGAAGGGTATGGTTTGTAATACCCCTAATTTTAAAAGGATAGTCTCGGTATTTATTTACTTGTTTTGACTGTATTTTTACTTATTTAATTTTATAATTTATTTATTTAATAAAGATATACATAAATTATATACGTAACATATTTTACTTACCTTTTTAATATTTTAATATTTTTTTTTTTTAAGTTGACTTGGATTGGGAAAAGAGTTAGGGTTATTTTATTTAGCCTATAAATATATAGCTATAGGTTGTAAAAGGGGGTTAGAAATATTCACGTGGTGTATTCTAGAGAGAGAGTTAGAGAGGGAAGGAGGAAAAAAACCCTATTGAGAGAAGATCAAGGAAGAAGAAGTTTAACTTTCGATCCGAAAGTTTAAGGCAAGTTCTTCTTCTATCTCTTTCCCTTTGATTCATGTTTCTGTACATGCCTAGGAAATTCCAAAATTTATTAAACACATAAAATTAAATAATTATGCATGTTTAATTGGGTTAGAACATAGGTTTTATGAAATTAGTTCATATCTGTTCTTGTGTTATGAATTGATAAAATGCATGATTTTGATTTGATTTCTTATGTGAATTTTTACATGTTTAAATTATGTATTTTTCATATCTGTGGAATGATGGAACGTAGAAACATGCCTAAGATTCCTGAACATTAAATAGGGATTAGGTTTGGGTTTTAATAAATTTAAATAGACTCAATCATAATGATGCTTGATATTTAAATATTTTAAACAAACGAATGGATTTAATCTTTTAAAATATTTTAGCAATTGAGATTAAATGTGTAAGATGAATTGGATATGGAGAATCCTTATTTAACGGTATAATAAAATATCATCATGTATAAGATTCAGTTTGTGTAGGACATATGATATAGGAAGTTTAAAGAAATAATAAGTCATTCCTATTATGTGATAACTTGATATTATATTTATCATAGTTATTTATGGAATGTTTGATGTATTTCCTTAATTGTTACATCAATTGTTGGATTGTGTGGTTTAATGCACCGGTATGGGACGGTGGCATTCTAGGGATGGATTAATTTATTAGTTAAGTCCTACCTATTTTATATAAGGGAATGGATTAACTAAAATGTTAAGTCCTACTTATATTTAAGTCAGGTCAGCTGAACAAGTTGAATGACTTATGGATGATTAATTTATTATATAAGGGAATGGATTAACTAAAATGTTAAGTCCTACTTATATTCAAGTCAGGTCAGCTGAACAAGTTGAATGACTTATGGAGAATTAATTTATACTGGATAGGATGGTTACTAGATTTTATATATATAAGTATGGTGCCATGATATGAGTTTGAGTTTCAGGATCAATGGTTAGGGCGCGTATATCGCCAGGGATGTGTAGCTAGATATAGTGTAGTTGTGTACCCTGGTAGGTCTAGGTACTCATGCCCACTATATGTGCGTTTTGCGTGTTGCCTACTATTCAGGTTGAGACAATCCTATAGTCTAGTGATGTTCCTTTAGTGTGTATATATATATATACAGACTACTAGTTACTGTTGGATTGACTAGGATGAATACGTGAATCGGATCTCTGCTTGGACTGTAGTAGAGTAGAACTTGTTTGTAGGCCTGACCCACCATTATTTTTCAAGTGTTCGTCACGAGTAGAGGTTGTTCGTGCTGAGCGGGGATCAGTCTACTTCATTCTTCCGATGCTACATATGAGTTCCTTTATGATTCAGTTTCCTGTTTTAGATTACTGTCATTTGTTTAGTTTGGATTTTCTAGGGGTCCATACAGTATGGATTCCCGAGTTGTATTTTGGAGGATCAGTTGTATCAGAAGAGTTTATTAATTAATGGAAATATATTATGAGGTTTATTATTAGATTATCATTTTAGTTTCTTGTCAGCATTTTATTTATTCTTCTTTATTCTTTTGTACTCTGTGTTCGTTTATTATCAATTTGTTTTGATATTCTCGGGTATTCGGGCGTGGGTCTGGCCAACCCGCATTCCGGAAACTCGGGGGTATCACATGGTTGCCCAAGGATAAAGAAATAATAGGAAATATGGGGTTGGATCAGCTTCTTCCTTCTGCCCCTGTTCGCGCTGTAGAGGTTCGGCTTACCTACTTTGGCTTATTCTTCCTTGTGTTTTATAGCTATGTTTTTGCTTATATCCTGATTAAATTATAAAGTCTGTATCACACCATGGCTCTATATGCAACTGTTAAGGCACAATCTATAGCTATCCGAAAAATGGAGTGGGATCTACTTCTGCTGAGAAGAAACTAGCTAACAAAGTTGCGGATGTGAAGATGATCTCTGATGCGAGAGATGTCT